GGGAGAAGCCGTAGTACTGGTACGTGTCGCTCTTGCCTGGGTCCTCACTGATGATACCCAGATTCTGGTTCCAGTGGGACCAGTTCACCTCATCCACCCTGTGGGGAAGGTCAGACCCAGAGGGGCTGCACAGAGAACCTGGAAGCCAGGGTGGCAGCTCTGGCATCCACCAGCAGTGCTGCCTGCCTCCAGGTCGGTACAACCAACCAGAACATGGTGCCAGCACCCCAACATGCTGCTGGCTGTGGTAGGAGAGGCTCAGCTTCTCCCCAGCCCTCAGGGGCAGCTGCTTTACCTGAAGCACCAGCGACGGTCAGGCGTCCCATCCGTGCCCTTCCCCACGGTGACCATCTCCCCCGAGCGGAAAGCTTTCCGCAGGAACACTGGGAAGGAGCGCTCAATGTCCAGGATGGTGGTGGCCCACTGCCAGGGACACCAGGGAACATTTGAGGATGAGGGTCCCTCACTCATGGAGCTTGGGATGTCTCAGTGTTGCAGCTCCCCTAGGCACAGTCAGCCCCTGGAGCCCCCTGCCCCACAGCCCCTGGGGTGGTACCTGCAGCTTCCAGATGTGCTTGCTCTCCTTGGAGACTTGGCCCACAGTCTCACCCATGAGGGCGATGAGCATGTTGAGGAGGAGCACGAAGGTGAGGATGATGTAAGTGACGAGGAGGATGATGAAGACACCAGGGTACTTGGCACTCTCAAGCATCTCCAGGTCACCCATGCCGATGGTGAGCTTGAAGAGGTCGAGCAGAAAGGTGCTGAAGGTCTGGCTGTCCCGGCAGGATGGGTAGGTGGGCACTGTACAGTTGGACTTCTCACTGCAGGACTCACTGCTGGGACATGGGTTGAGGAGGGACACCAGGGCTGGGGGAGAAGGGACAGGGACAGTGAGTCCATGGGAGCAGCTCCATCCACAATAGCCCCCAACGTGGCACTGTGCTGGTTGAAATCCTCTCCACCACGGGAGCTGGCACAGGCTGAGCCCACAGGTGGGTGGGATGGAGTGGGGGGTCTGCAGCCCCTTGCCCAGCTGTGCCATGCTGTGCCACAGGACTCATCCTTCTGCCCCCATTAGGTGCCTACCTGATGCATAGCCAATCATGAAGAGCAAGTAGACCAGGAGGAAGCGGAACAGATCTTTGAAGAGGATCTGCAAGTGATGGAGAGTGGGGTGAGGTGTGCTGAACCTCACACTGTCACTGACCCGTGCTGCTGGGACAGGCATGATGAGCACAGGGCAGTGGTGAGCCACAGGAACCCCACAGAAAATCTTGAGGACCCTCTTTGGGCTGCACATCCATAGGAGGACCGGCCCTGTAGGGGAAGGAGAAGACCCCCAATCCCACCAGACCTTCTGGATCATGATGCTGTAGGTCCCTGTCAGCTTGAGCCCACGAGTGAAGTACAGAGCGTTCATCCAGCCCAGGACCAGTGCAAAGACCATGACAGCCAAGTATGCCTCGATGCCCCCCAGGTACAGCCCCGCTGTGACAATCACCAGCACCGAGTAGATGAAGCTGGAGGAGACCCAGGGTCAGAGCCTGCACCCACAAGCCTGGGGGTACAGCAGCTCGTGGTGGTCCCAGGGGATCCCCACATACTAGAGCAGCTGGAAGGAGCCATCGATGAAGAAAGAGTTCACCCCTGGGCACTTCTTCATGAACAGGTCTTTGATCTGGGGGAGCAAGGCAGAGGTTGGAGGGACCAGGGGGAGGGAGCCCCTGCATGGCAGGGTCCCAGTGTCCAGGCAGATGGCTCAGGACATGGGGCTGTCCCCCTTGGAGACCCCAAGGACTCAGCAATCCCACGGGAGGACCCTCTGCCTCACCACACTGACGTTTGTGCAGAAGAAGAGGATTCCAGTGAAGAGGGTGATGATCTCCCCGGCCAGGCGCAGGTAGTCCACGGTGGTGGTGTATGGGTAGGGAGGCTGCAGGAGAGGACAGAGTTGAGCTGCTCCCACATCCCCTGGGGCACAGACCCAGCAGATCCCCCTGCCAGGCAGTGCTGGCTGTGCCACAGCACCGTGGGACTCACAGGGCCTTCCATGGGGCGGTAGTAGGCGACGAGGGTGAAGATGATCATGGCACTGAGGTAGGAGATGACGCTGATGTAGAAGGAGACAGCCCCAAACTTGCGCCACTTGTCGCGCAGCAGCTCGTTGATGGGCTCCACGGCCAACATCTCGTGGCGGTTCTGGTGGGACGTGGGTGCTGTCAGAGGGGACCTGCTCACCCCGTCCCCCACAGAGCCCTCCCAGTCCCCCCAGCCCCTGCACACCTCGATCTTGCTGTTGTAGACGAGGATCTCCAGCACTGACACCTCCTCCCCACAGGTGTCCAGCGAGGAGAGGTCGTAGAGGGAGGAGTAGACTGGACCGTACGCCCAATCCTTGAACTTCCGCGAGAGGTGCCGAGCGTCCTCGTCCGTGATCTCCCGACGGATGATGTGCTGGAAGATCTGCCAGAGGAGGAACACTCACCCACAAACCTGACCCCCAACTGCTTGGGGCACCATGCTCTCCTCCCACCCCTTCCCAGGTGCATCCCCCAACCCACCCCCTGCAGCCTGGTGGGCGCAGGGTGTTCTTGGGGTGCTCCCAGGGTGCTCCAGGGATGCAGGGACAGTGGGCAGTTCTCTGGGATGCTGCAGCTTTGTGTTTTTAATGACCTCCCTGCCCACCCCACTGGAGGCCAAGGGCAGGTCAGAGGAGAGGATGGGCTGTGCTGAGGGTCTGGGGTTAATTAGGGCAGGGCTGGAACGCAACGGGGAATTAATTAGCTGTGTTAATAGCCTGCACATCCAGGTTTCCAGCAGCATCTCCAGAGAGAAGCTGTGCTGCCAGCAGGACGTGCACTGAGTGTGACAGGGCTCAGCCCAGAGCTGACAAGGACTCAGCCCATGCAGTGAGGAAAGCAGGGAGACCTCTCCCCACTGTGGGTGGTCACCATACCCCGATCTTGCCAGTCTTGGCTGCCATCATGAGCGGGGAGAGGCCGTCGTTGTTGAGCAGTGCCTCCAGGTTGGTGTCAGGGAAGAGCTTGGCACACTTGACGAGGAGCAGGTCGTACATCTTGGTGACAAACTTGGTGTTCTCGCGGGTGTTGTCGGCGATGGCCACCAGGGCATGCAGCACCGTGTTGCCGCGGGAGTCCTGGCGCCGAAGATCTGCCTGTTTGTGCCCGTTCTCCGTCAGGTAGTGCACGATGTGTGGCTGGTTGGTGCAGGCAGCCAACGAGAGGGGCAGCTCACCTGCAGGGACATCATCAGGGATCCCATCACTCCTGTCCCCCTGTAGCTGGTGCCCCCCAGGCTCTTGTTTCAGCTCACCAAAGTAGAAATATCCACCCTCATCCTTGGGCTGGAAGAAGCGGCCGCGGGCTTGGGCATGGACATCTGCTCCCTTCTCCACCAGCAGCTCCACGTAGTGCTTGCAGCGGCGCTCGATGGCAATGTGCAGGGCGGTCTGACCTGTGGCACCACTGCCCATCAGCTGCCACCCTGTCCTGTGACCTCCCCCAGGTCCCCAGCCTTCCTGGGGGACCTGTTGCTCCAGTCCCAAATCCCTCTGGACACCCTCAGTCTCCCCACTGCTCTGGTCCCCAACCTCCTCAGCATCCTCCATCCTCTCTTAGGTCCCCACTGCTCTGGTCCCTAAACCACCCCAGTGTCCCCATGCCCAGGCAGGACCAGCAGTGCCCCCGTGTCCCCCCACCTCGGTAGTAGACGTCCCTGAAGGGCGAGTTGATGAACTCCCTCATGTTTCCTGTCTTCTCGGCGATGTCCAGGAGGACAGGGATGGTGTCATTCTTGCCCCCACTCAGGTTGAGCAGTGCCTTGGGCAGGCAGGTCTTCCCCGTGGAGGGTTCTGTGAGAGGAGGGTGCTGAGTGGGGCCAGGATAAGACTCTCAGGCCCCCAGTGCCCCGTGCCAGAGCTGAGCATCACCATCCCCGCGGGGATACAGGATTACCAGGGGCACAGCCCTGGCACCGTTCCCCGTGGAGGGTTCTGTGAGAGGAGGGTGCTGAGTAGGGCTAGGATAAGACCCTCAGGCCCCCAGTGCCCCATGCCAGAGCTGAGCATCACCATCCCCGCGGGGATACAGGGATACAGCCCTGGCACGCGGGAATCCCACGGTCCTCACCTCGAAATTCCTCATCT